AGTATTAATGGAATCTATTATTAACTGCCAGCTCATGCGGTACCTTGAGGATCACCAGCTGACTAGTGACCGCCAATACGATTTTCATCGGGGTCGATCAGCTGGTGATCTTCTGGTCTACCTGACCCATAGATGGGCGGAGGCAGTAGAGTCCAAGGGGGAGGCGTTGGCCGTTAGTTTGGACATTCCGAAGGCCTTTGATCGGGTTTGGCACAAAGCGCTTCTTTCGAAGCTCCCTTCCTATGGGCTTCCCGAGAAATTGTGCAATTGGATCACCAGCTACCTTGCAGATCGGAGCATCAAGGTCATTGTAGACGGTGCATGTTCTGACTACAAGCCTATTAACGCTGGTGTTCCACAAGGCTGTGTGCTATCACCAACGCTGTTTCTTCTGCATATCAATGATATGTTGGTAACTGGTAACATTCATTGCTATGCGGATGACAGCACTGATGATGCTCTATACACCGGCCGTGCCAATATTTCTCGGGAAAAACGTCGCCGAGTACCGGAAAAAACTTGTGTCTGAAGTCGAGTCTTTGCTGAACAAAGTCTCGGATTGGGGGCGACTAAATCTAGTCCAGTTTAATCATTAGAAGACACAAGTTTGCGCGTTTACCGCTAAAAAGAACCCCTTTGTCGTATCTCCTCAGTTTCAAGCATAGACTATATACGTACTAAGTCTGTGGTTTCAAGGCACTCCCCTTCTTGCCTCAGCCTGTATCGGAATCCTCGGAGTCGACATATCGAGTGACGTGCAGTTTCGTGGTCACTTGGAAGAGAAGACCAAATTGGTCTCTAAAAAGCTTGGTGTGCTCAGCAGAGCAGGACAGTATTTCATGCCGGCACACCGCCTGCAACTTTACAAGGCGCAGGTTCGGCCTCACATGGAATACTGTTCTCATCTCTGGGCAGGCACTTGACCGCAGCGCAGAGCGGCTCGAATCGTCGACGACCGAGTCCTTTCCGATCGGCTTGATTCATTGGCACTGCGAAGAGATGTTGCATCCCTTTGCATTTTCTTTCGCATCTACCACGGGGAGTGCTCTGAGGAATTGTTCGTGAAATGTGGCGGCTGGGATTAATCCCAGCCGCCACATTTCACGAACGCACATCGCAGCAGAACTCCCGATACCATCCACACCATCTGGATGATTGGCGGTCCACCACTGTGCGATTTAGAAGATGTTTTCTTCCTCGCACGACTTCCTTGTGGAATCGATTACCATCAGCGATTTTTCCGGACCGATACTACTTAGGGACCTTCAAGAAAAGAGCCTACTCCTTTTTAAAAGGCCGGCAACGCATCTGCAATTCCCTCCCTCCTATAAAAAAAAGTGTAATTGAAATTTGACATTTTCACAAACACTTGATAGGATATTAATAACTTAAATTGAAAATTTTAAAAACCGCCAACTAGAACCCTACTACATCTAAGAAAACAGCTAATGATCTTGAAATGGCTGAACCGATTTTGATAAAACCTATCTAAGAACGACCGCTGGAAAACCTGCTTTTAAATAATAAAACCGCACCCAAATCGGTTCACCCGTTTAAGAGCTACGGAGCCAAAGTCAGACACACACATAGCGATAAAATTTGTAACACTCCTCTTTTTGCGTTGGGTTTTGAAAATAAAACGGCTTTAACTTTTCATTGATGGTTAAATATTTACATTTTTGAATGTTCAGTAGACTAATCAATATAACAGCTCAAGATAACGACAAGAAAGTAACGTCTCTTAGAGGTCCACCTCTACTACACCTTACCTACATTTAAACCTCTACTACACCTTACCTACATTTAAATATGAAGAAATAATTCCATTATTTCTTCATATTTAAATGTAGGTAAACCCTTTAGGTAGGCTATTAAAAAATTACATTTGTTCCGTTGTTTCCGAAATCGTTAAACATCTGCCGTAAAACGCATACAATAACGTACGTACGCATGCGCTTAAGTGTGGACACTGCTTAAATATTATGTTCTATAAATCCATGACGAGCTGTTACGTCGCTCGAAATGTTTATTGTATTCTTATAATAATTCAAATTCGTACGCAATAAGAGCCGTGGTGATTCAGAGACTAAGCGCTCGCTGTAAATTTGATAGTATGCGAGCTACCTGGGTTCAATTCCCACCAATAAAATTGTTGCTTGCAATTTTAAGTGCTGATTTACGACGTGCGGCGATAATTTAGGTTTTAGGTTGCACAAAAATTAATGCGAAAAGAGTGAAAACATTCAGAAGTGGCAAAGTCCTAGAAGGGTTTATCGACCAAAGTGGCAATATAATGTAGACTAGCTTTTACCCGTAACTTCATCCGCATAGAACTTAAACCAAAAAAAAAATGCAGATCTGTAATAGTGATCTTTGGGCAAGTAGTTCAATTATCGAAGAACCACTTTCAACTCAGTTTTTGTTAAAGATTTCTTTTTATTAAAAGTATAAATTGAAGACCTTTTAATCTTACGCAAAAACGTCTTATGACCTTTTCCTTTCCGCCCTTATCACACCATAATATTATAGCTACATAATATACAACCATATAGCTACAGTTTATACGAAATATAGAATTAAACAAATTCTATAGGAATAAATAAATCAGGATTTGATTAATTCTATAGGCGAACAATAGAATTGAAGAATTCTATAGTTAGTTTAATTTTACTGTTTGTTATTGTAAAAAATTAGTTTTAAAATAGTGATGCTCATGAGTGATTCATTCAAATTAAGAACCGGGTGAGCTGCGTCATTTCACAGTTAATGTTTTTATTAGTATATATCAAAGTCACATTAAATACAGGTTTTGTATGATTACGACACAGAACCATCAACTCAATGCACACGGCCGTTATCGTTATCACAAAAAAATTAGAATGATGCATAGCACGTTGTACTTAACTTTTTACGAATGCGTGAAGCTGCAGTAAAGCAGAAAGGAATATATATAAACCACCAGAATCACCTGCACCTAAGGTTTTGGGATAGAACAAGTAAGTCTTCTCGAAGATTTGTACCTACGCACAGGCCCAAAGTGGAACTAACTGACTGTCTCGTTTTCTAGTCGTAAGCTACTGAGGAGACTACTGAACATGAGGTCCCGAGTTTGAAACCAAGTCATACTATATATTAAAATAGCAAAACATGTGTGTAGAATACAACTTTAACTATTATATTATATATTTACCATGTAGTATGCAAATAATAATAATAATAATTAAAAAGATAACGCGCAGTTGAATTATACCAGCGAGCCCAGAAAACGTTGCTCTATCGTTTACGGTAGGTGGCGCGATGAGTTTCACTCCAAATTCGTATAGAATTTTTTGTAAATATGCAATTTCTTTTTTATAGAATAAGCGTGACAAAGAAGCACACAGTCCATCTGATGGTAAGTAGATGCTGTGGCCCATAGACATTTAGATTATCCTCCGTCGTTTAAGACTCAAAATGCAGATGCATTGTCACCCGTGAGGACTAAGATGGAATGCCTCTTTTCCAGTAAAAGGGGTCTCCGGTTCTCTACACTCACCATACAAAACACAGCAGCATTAAGCTGCTATTTTACGGTGGTGTTCTGTGAGAGCGTGGTCCTTCCCCGATTGAGCCGACCCATTCGTGCTACCACTATACTACTAATATAGCTGCAGCATGGCTCTACCACGTATAAGAAATACCATACATAATACAGTTTACAATGGTGTATAAGTTATTTCGCCTAAAACTAATATAAAGATCAGCAGTAGTCATAAAGACATCTACAGGAAAGAAAAATTCAACCCGCCTTCATCGACGGCTGCGTGTGGCTTAGCAATGAATTGTTGCGCTGGGGGCCGCGGGTTCGAATTCCGCACGGAACAAGTATTTGTATGGCCTACAAAATATAATTGTTCCGGGTCTGGATGTTTGTCCTTGTGCAATTTGTGTTTGTAAACTGCCTCCACGATACAGGAGAAAATCCTAGTGTGGGGGTAACGTTTTAAAAAAAAAATAATTTGCACCATACCATCTATCGATGCCGCCGGTTTACTATTGTACTTATCTAACTAAGACGGCATTACATTAATCTTTGTGAGAAAACATACCTTTTATATTTTTTTTATATAGGATAGGGTGACAAACGAGCACACAGTCCACCTGATGGTAAGTGGTTTCTGCGGCCCATAGACATCTACATCTATCCTCGTTTGCAAATCAAAATGCAGATGCGTTGTCACCCTTGAGGACTAAGATGGATTGCCTCTTTTCCAGTAAAAAGGGTCTTCGGTTCTCTACACTCACCATACGAAACACAGCAGCGTTAAGCTGCTATTTTACGCTAAAATACCTATACTTAAAAAGCCTTAAGTGCGAAATAAAAATATTGAGAGTCACTTGTCGCGTTAAAAACTATCCTATCTCTCAAGTTGAAGCAATCGAGCACATTTACACATTTACATCATTCCATTAATATCAGTTTGAGTGGTTTCGGAGATTTGCGTGAACGAACATTGTGACACGGGATTTTTTATTTTTATAAGATTTATGATTGTGATTGGAGTCATTTTGCGCACATCAATATTCTAAGTCTGTATTACGAGTACGATTAGTATGTTTACCTTTTGGATTATGTTTACATACTAGCTGTTCCCCGCGACTTCGCCCGCGTGTTATTTTGGGGTTTTAATTTTTTTGCGCGGAACCCTAATTCTTTTTCTAAAATAAAAGTACTAGCCTAAGTCACTCCTTGTGACATCAGCCATCTGCCAGTGAAAATCTCGTCAAAATCGGTCCAGCCGTTTCGAAGATTAGCCGGAACAAACAGACAGAGAGACGGACAGACAGACAGACAGACAGACAAAAACTTTAAAAATTGTATTTTTGTTATTAGTACCGTATATACTTTCATATGCATTTAGTAAAAAGCTGTAATTTTGACATTACAAACAGACACTTCAATTGAATTTATTTGTATAGCTGTATAGATTATGTTACAATCAAAAGTTTATATGACCTACCTGAGCGTGCTTCTCTTCTCTGCCAGAGCAAGCTGCTGAGCCGGCGTCAACATCCTCCTGATGTTAGCAGGGGGCGCGTTGGGGAAGGAGTCCCTCCCCTCGTGGGAAGGGCCGTCGTCTTCCACATCTTCAGGACTCTCGTCTCCGACGATGAAGTTGGGATTTTTACCCTACAAAAATAATTTAAATCGAACACAACTTACAAAAACAGTTTTGAAATGAAAGCAGGTCTTTGCCCAGCATTGCGAAGTAATTTGTAAGGTAAATTACTTCCCAATGATAAGCACAAGCCTCCTGCAATTATAATGAAAGATATTTTTATAGAATAAGAATATCAAACGAGCATACAGTCCACTTGATGTTAAGTGGTTAACAGTGGTAGAGCCACGCGGCAGCTTTTGCTGTCGCACGGATGGGCCGGCTCGAACCGGGGTGGTACCACGACCTCACAGAAAACCAGCGTGAAGTAGAGGTTTACCTCTGCGTTTCGCTTTGTGAGTGCAGGTGGCCGGAGGCCCTTTTTACTGGAAATGAGGCATTCCATCTTAGTCCTCACGGGTGACAACGCATCTACATTTTGATTTGTAATAGATAGATGTAGATGTCTATGGGCCGCAGAAAACACTTACCATCAGGTGGACTGTGTGCTCGTTTGTCACCCTTATCCTATAAAAAAAAGTGGATGCTGTGGCCCATAGACATCAATATTTATGCCCGATTAAGAATCAAAAGAGAACCGGAGACCCTTTTTACTGGAAAAGAGGCATTCCATCTTAGTCCTCACGGGTGACAAGGCATCTGCATTTTGATTCGCAAACGAGGATATATGTAGATGTCTATGGGCCGCAGAAAACCCTCACCATCAGGTGGACTGTGTGCTCGTTTGTCATCATATCCTATAAAAAAAAACAGACGCGGTGTCACCCGTGAGGACTAAGATGGAATGCCTCGTTCCAAGTAAAAAGGGTATTCTTTGGTTCTCTACACTCATCATTCGAAAAGCACCCCACGCTTTTTTACAATAAAATGATTTTTTTATGTTAATCACTATTTTCTTATTTTAAACTTATTAGAAATTATTTTCTACTTTTTAGTTCGGTTATCTACAAAAGCGTGTTTTTTTTAAATTATTATTTATTTTTTATTTTCTAGTGCGGTTATCTACAAAAGCTTGTTTATTTTTGGAACGAAGTTCTTTTACGCGGCTTACAATACATTGAACTGGCAGAAATCGTTGTTGTTTTTTTTTATAGTATAGGATGACAAACGAGCACACAGTCCACCTGATGGTAAGTGGTTGCTGTAGCCGATAGACATCTACATCTATCCTCGTTTGCGAATCAAAATGCAGATGCGTTGTCACCCGTGAGGACAAGGATTTCTAGTAAAAAGGGTCTCCGGTTACACACACACACCATACGAAACAGCATTGTTATGCTATTTTCGCTGGTATTCTGTGAGAGCGTGGTCCTCCCCCGGTCGAGCCGACCCATTGTTTTATGAATTATTCGCAAATCCTGATGATCCTGGATAGGATAATTGGACGAACTATTTCACATTCGAAAATTTCGTTACATAGATAAAACGTATATATATACATACCAAGCTAATAAAAGCGTGATAAAAGGTATTCTCAGCCTGCTCTAGTAAATGCAAAACAGTACGACTATTTAATCTATATCACCTCGAGATTTCCATTTTCAGTAAAATTCCATACGACGAAGGTCTTTTCAACAATTTGTTAATCTCATTTATTATTTGGTGTCTTTGGATATTCACGAGTTATATCGAAGAAGCGTGAGAGGGTCATGATAGATATTTATATAACAAAATATTTCATTAAACACAAGTTCATTTTCAGAGTTCATGAACGTCCTAAATAGGTACTAAAACTTGTACAGAGAAAACCGGTTTGAAATTGAGAATTCATAATTTTTTTACTTCCCTTTTTAGGGTTCCGTACACGAAGGGTAACCAACGGGACCCTATTACTAAGCCTCCGCTGTCCGTCCGTCCGTCTGTCTGTCAGCGGGTTGTATCTCATAATAGGTAGACCTTCATGAGGTAGACAGAGACAGAGAGTTGAAATTTTCACAGAATGTGTATTTCTATTGCCGATATAACAATAGATAATAAAAATAAATTGAAAAATTAAAGGGAGCGCCCCTACTAGAAACGTGTTTATTTTTGCATCTTACAATGATTTTTTAATACTATGTATTAAAAAATCATTGTAAGATGGTACGAAACCCTTCATGCACGAGCCCGACTCGCACTTGGCCAGTTTATATTACTCATTATAAGACAGTGCTTGACTACTACCCCGCCTGGTAGCAAGTGTTGATGCAGCCCTAGATCGTATTGGGATCAGTTTAGGTATTATTGTTATTCGTGCGTTTGTGTTCGTACCTTATTGATTTTGTTTTGCTCTCACTTATCTTTGAGAGCATATGATAATATTGAGACATGTATCATTTCATTAGACGCGTATTGAACACCAGATAAGTTTAAGAATTTTCTTCAGCAGTTTTTTAAAGGAAAATTTACAATAATGCTGTGGATAAACTGTTCGGCAGCAGAACTAGGTAAGAAGGTGCTACTATGAGCTCTCCCAAGACGGACTCCAAACGCTCAAACACTTGTTTCATATGGGAGTCGGATCCGCAGCCAGCGGAAATATTGTTTGGACAACCAGCCGTCAAATTTAATAAAAAAATAAATATGTATACGAAAATTAATACTTCCGATTATTGTCTTAATAATACATACATAAATACTCCCGCCTGTCATCCAGAGGGGTAGTCAGAGACTACGGACTTCCATTTGACACGATCCTGACACACCTCTCGCTTCCTCCACATCCATACACATACCTTTAATTTGGCCCATTTTCAATACATCTCCAATTTGGTCCATAAACTTATGCCTGGCGCGTCCCTTCCCGACTTCCCGTTCACTTATGCAACGTAAATTTGCACTCTTTCCTCGTTCATTCTTTCTACATGACCAAACCATCGAAGCATTCCTTTCTTAATTATGGTCACAATATCATCTTACAAACCACACTCTTCTCTTATCATACAACTTCTCACCCTGTCATTCAGATTCACCCCTAACATACTCCTTAATGACCGCATTTCTACAGCATTTATTCTGCTCTCGTGCTTCTTCTGTCACACCCAACATTCACTACCATACATTAAAGTAGTAGGTACTAACACAACATTGTGGATTGCCATACCTGCCTTTTTGGACACATTATGACTTTCCACAATAGAGTGTAGGGCACAATTTACTCTATTTCCTGAATTCACTCGTCGTTCTATATCCTTATCATATCTACCATCCCTGTTAATACTCATTCCAAATACACAAACGCATCTACTTGCTCGACCAACTACACCGGTAGAAAGTAAGTAAATGTGTTCCGTGAACTACACTGTCACTGTGACAACTGTCTTAATAAGTGCCATGTAATGGTGCGTGTATATTCTAAGGCTACCCCCATATCATTCCGTGGGTGTCGTAAAGTAAATACATACATACATATAATCACGCCTCTTTCCCATAGGGGTAGGCAGAGACCACTTCTTTCCACTTGCTACGACCTTACATACTTGTTTCGCTTCGTCCACTTTCATTATTCACTTCATACATGCACTTCAGTTTAGGGTACTCTTGACCTGGCCTTTTCTCAAGACGTCCCTGATTTAGTCTAGAAACGTCCGCCTAGGTCTACCCCTTTCAACACTTTCATTCACACTCGCTTTAAACACCTTTTTCGGCAATCGTTCTTCATTCATTCTCTCGACATGGCCAAACAATCTCAGCATACCTTTCTCAATTTTTGTCACTACATCTTTTTTCAGAGCACAACCTTTCCTTATCTCACTATTTCTTATCCTGTCTCTCAGTTTAACTCCTGTCATACTTCTTAACGCTCTCATCTCAACTGCATTTATTCTGCTTTCATGTTTCTTCTGCCATACCCAACTTTCTCTTCCGTACATTTTTTTTATAGGATCGGGTGACAAACGAGCACACAGTCCGCCTGATATAAGTGGTTACTGTGACCCATAGACATCTACATCTATCCTCAATAAAGATTCAAGATGCAGATGCGTTGTCACCCGTGAGGACTAAGATGGAATGCCACTTTGCCAGTAAAAAGGGTCTCCGGTTCTCTACACTCACCATATGAAACACAGCAGCGTTAAGCTGCTATTTTACGCTGGTTTTCTGTGAGAGCGTGGTCATTCCCCGGTCGAGCCGACCCATTCGTGCTACAACCATAATATAGCTGCAGCATGGCTCTACCACGTAGAAAAATGAGTGTCGGAACCAACACCCCCTCATTCACAGCCAAACGAGCCTGCAAAGCTACATTCACCATGTTTCCTGCATTCACTCTTCTTTCACTATCACTCTCACACTTTCCAATCCCTTCCACCTGGTAAATTCCTCAGAAAAGAGAGTTATAAAAAGGCTTCTTATTCTTACATTAGTGTCCACTATGTCTTCCGAGTCAATCTTCTCGAAGTTCTCGCTCTCGCTGGACGAGCAGCGAACTTGCTGCTCTTGCTCCGCCATTGCGTCTGGAATAAAATAACATATTTATTCATCAATGCTACAAAACTATTGTAGAAACTGATTATAGGTGATTGTATTCAGAAGGCGGTTACTTTAATAACTAATAAGTAAAATAACCGAACTAAAAAGTAGAAAATAATTTTCAATAAGTTCAAAACATTTTGTTTTAAAAAAGCGTGGGGTGCTTTTTTAGATAGTTTAAGATGCCGTTCATTTTACAAATATCCACAAAAATATTTACAACAAATAACATCAAGCATCCCATGCTTTTTACAATAAAATGTTTTTTTTTTATGTTAATCACTTTTTCTGATTTTAAACTCATGGAAAATCATTTTCTAATTTTTAGTTCGGTTATCTAAAAAAGCGTGTATTTTTAGTTCTTTTTAAACTTTATTTATTTTCTATTTTTTAAGGCGGCTAACAATAAAAGCGTGTTTTTTTTTTTTGGAAAGAATTTCATACAGTAGATTGATTTATGAATTATTCGCAAATCCTGAGGATCCTGAAAAGGATAATGGGACAAACTTTTTAAATTGTTGCATTGTCATCGGGTCCTTGATAAGTGAGTGAAGTTTCTCACCAATCCGATGTTTTGAAAGGGAAAATCACATTCAAAAACTCCGTTACATAGATACATACCAAGCTAATAAAAGAACGTGGTAATAATGTTCACTTTAAAAAAAAATCGCCCGAACTAAGACCCAAATATTAGAGGTCCAACTACTATTATAAATATTTTTAAAATAAATATATATAATTGACGAAAGTACCATAATAAGTATTTTAATATCGCCGATTCGCGTAAGGCTGTTAATAAAGGTTCTAAAGTAGAAGAATATAATTAATAAAATCCAAAAGTGCACGCCTCATAAGCATTTTATTTAATTGAATAAAACTATTTTTACGGATTTTATCGCGTTTAATTAACTTATTTTATATTCCCGACGTTTCGGTTGCTTTCCAGCAACCGTGGTCACGGGGAACTGAGGTGATTGACGTCTCGATGTCAAAGTTAACCCGGAGTACCTTCAGCTTTTTAATTATTAATTTTGGTCCGATCTACGCAGAATGAACTAACTGTGTCTTGAAGTCTTGCAGTGGTATGCTTGGGTTTAGTTTTAATTTTATGAATTACAGGATCCCAAGCAGGTGGTAGTACCCAGCCTCCCTCTCTATTGAAATTAGGATGTTTTTTAATTTCAATAGCCTCACGTATCATCCTTGGCAGGAATCGATGTTCTTTCGCGAGGACTTGTGGTTTATCAAATCTAATGTAATGGCGGGGGCCGTCTAGGATATGATCACAAACTGCAGACTTCCCGGAACGTTGGTGCTTCACGTCAGCTATGTGTTCTTTTACGCGGGTTTTTATTGATCGTTTTGTTTGCCCTATATATGAGAGACCACACTCACAATCAAGCTTGTATACTCCTGCATCTTGTAGAGGAATATTGCACTTGACGGATGGTAAGAACTGACTAATCTTCTTCGGCGGCTTGAAGAATGTTCTAATAGAAGCTCGCTTCAAGATGTAGCCAATCTTGTCTGTGACACCTCTGACATATGGTAGTACAGCAGGCACACGCTCGACTGTGGCCGGCTTCACTCGGTCACTGTGACGTAGGCGCGGAACCCGAATCATATCCTAGACGGCCCCCGCCATTACATTAGATTTGATAAACCACAAGTCCTCGCGAAAGAACATCGATTCCTGCCAAGGATGATACGTGAGGCTATTGAAATTAAAAAACATCCTAATTTCAATAGAGAGGGAGGCTGGGTACTACCACCTGCTTGGGATCCTGTAATTCATAAAATTAAAACTAAACCCAAGCATACCACTGCAAGACTTCAAGACACAGTTAGTTCATTCTGCGTAGATCGGACCAAAATTAATAATTAAAAAGCTGAAGGTACTCCGGGTTAACTTTGACATCGAGACGTCAATCACCTCACTCCCCCGTGACCACGGTTGCTGGAAAGCAACCGAAACGTCGGGAATATAAAATAAGTTAATTAAACGCGATAAAATCCGTAAAAATAGTTTTATTCAATGTGTAGTGTTCGCGTAAATATAAGAAATCATCATTTTATTTAAATTTGATGAAAAAAATGTATTCCTGGCTTTTAAAATATATTATTTACGTGTTTTAAATTTAGCGCCCCATTATTTTAACAGGTAGTGTCACCTACAGGGATAAAATTTATAATGTTTACCAAAATCAATCGATTACATATAGTATAAAATCGATATAGGCTGTATTATACGTTTATACTTTGTTCATCAACGGCAAAAAAAGAGTCTCCCCAAAAGATTGACACAAAACATGGTCCTAACCCACTTGCAACCATCGATTTCCTGCAGGTCCAACCAGGTCTTCACTCCATCAGATGAAACATACTATATATATATACCTAGTCAGGTCATAAATTCTGTCACATGTTTAATATAAAATAATTGAAACACGTTTATTCATTATGTAACCATTTATATACCAAAATGAACTTAACAAAACATAGATTATTATGACACTAAAGTTTATTCAAAATGACCTCCATGATTTTGAATACAGGCCTTCTATCTGCGCGGCCAGTCGTCTATCGCAGCACGAACGAGGTCCATTTCAATATCGGCGGCTGCCTTAATCAAGGACTCAAACAAGTGACTCCAAATTGGGATGAGGCTTTGAGCACGCCTTTTTCTCCAAGTGTTGCCATATCTTGTAATCTAACGGATTCAAATCTGGACTGGAGGAGGGCCAGTCTTCGTGCCGGATGAAGTCGATTTCACGCGCCGCCATCCAGCCTTATGTGCTCTTCGCTCTATGAGCTGGCACCGAATCTTGTTGGAATACCACAAGTTCCACAAGGTTCGTCAGAACTGTATTTTGATACACAACTGCATTCGTTTTTACACCTTTCTCACAAAAATGTACCTCTGTTAAGCCCCATTAAGAAACTCCCAAACATACCATGAGCGAGGATGGAAAATGACCTCGTTGGACACGCGGAATACGGTTGCTCGCTTCTTCACTACTGTGTGCGTACACCTTATCATTTTGTTTGTTGTAGCTCTTTTCTACGGTAAAAATTTTTCATCCGAAAAAAGAATTTCCCGATATTTTTTCTCCGCGTAACGCTTCAACAAAGCGCGGCATCTCTTCAGTCTCAGGTCCATTAGACGAGCATTCAAACGATGTCCTATTTTTCTTCGATATGCCCGAAGCCCAAGTCTTCATTTAACACCCTTTTCACCGTGGTTCTGCTTAACCCCATCTGAAGGGCCAACAGTTTCTGCTTACGTTTGGGATTTCTTTGCATTCGCGCCTTCACAGCTTTTATCACTGCTGGAGTCCTAACAGACCGAGGGCGACCACTTCTTGACCTGTACGATAAACGAATCTTTTGGTTATATTCAAATTTTTCAGTATGTCAAAAATTTGAACTGGCGCGTAACTGCAACGATGCAACGCAATAACTGCAACACGGTCTTCTTTAAGCGTCCACTCCATATTTAAAAATGAGTAAAATTCTAAAAAGTATACAGTTTTATTTTCATGAACAATTCGAAATTCGAATTCAATAAACTTTTTTGTGGCCAGCATTCTGAAAGAAAAGTTTTTACTGTGTGACAATACTTATGACCTGACTAGGTATATATATATATATATATATATATATATATATACATATATATATATATATATATATATATATATATATATATATATATATATATTTCGCTATTTACATCTACATCTACACTCAATAAAGAATCAAAACGTAGATGCGTGACACCCGTGAGGAATAAGATGGAATACCTCTTTTCCAGTACAAAAGGTCTCTGGTTCTCTACACTCACCATACGAAACACAGAAGTGTTAAGCTGCTATTTTACGCTGGTATTCTGTGAGAGCGTGGTCCTTCCCCGGTCGACCCATTCGTGCTACAACTATATTACCAGTATAGCTGCAGCCAGGCTCTACTACGTATGTTACTACGTGTATGTTAGGTACTACCACGCTGATGCAGAGTCAGGACATAAGCTGTCAGCTTCCACAAACGGCCAAAAAGGCTAAGCCTGACTGACACGACTGTAACGGTTTTTATAAAATTGCAGAGACAACAAATTTAAAGTCAACCTGTTGACTGTTGTAACAGACATACAAAACAGATGGTAATGAGGGATCGTAATCCACGACTTTTTCTGCCACCAGGGCGGCTCCACTTAAAAATGAGGTGTAGGTAATATTTGACAGATTTCAAAGCAGGAAAGTTAATTTGTTCGAAAAATGTAGAGACTAATGTTTCTTTCGGTACTATTAGTTAATTTTTATATTAATTTGAATAAAAATAAATAAACCAAACCACAGATATTCATAAAAGTAGAAAATAAAGCCAAAACTTTTTTTAAACTAAAACTATCTTTTCAATTAAATGACATTGTGTGACGAAAAACTTCACCTAAGCGTCAACTAGCGACATCTGGTGAGCGGAAGAATATTAGCCCTAATTGGCGTACTGCTGTTTGGACTGGAGGCAAAAATAGGTAAGTAGGAACCAGATGGACTGCTAATCAAGAAAACAAGTCCTACCACTTAGATAAAGAGTAAATATTTATAATGATGGTAATGATAAATACCGCTGATCGCTTAATCTTATTTTAATCGCGTAATTACTGTATAATGATTATAAAAACTAACGAAACTAGTTTCGCTGGTACAATTAAGATAAAGATTAAAAATATGCTTGTATCGGACCGATAGCAGAAAAAGAACTCGTGCTGGTTACTTAAAATGTTTATTGCGCCACACGGTGAAAATACAAAATGACCGTTAGATTTTTCAAAGCGCGGGACGAATTAAACGTATATATGTGCACACAAACGGAGACTCGGCAACAACTGCCCGCCAAGATTCCTGGCGGGGGATCGCTCCTTCTTATCTACCTTACAGATAATATTACAAATACATACAAGATTACCTACACATAATTTATAAAA